TGAAACAGCTGTTAATTTTAAAATTGTATTTTAAACAACACACATTTATTAAGAGGTACTGAATTGTCCAAAAGAAGTGTTTGCAATGTTATTTTCTGATTTTAAAATTGATTTTCTTCTGTATCATGTCATGTTTTGCAAAACATTCCATTACGAACAGTGGAAAATCCTTTTATCACAGTAACTCTTACAATTATTTTCTATCGAACTATCTTCTATCTGTTTTACGGGTTGGTGTCTGCCTTTTTCACAACTTTTGCTTATATTTTAGCATATTATTCTAGATAGATCATAGGTTCATGAGATTATTGTCAAACATGTTTTCAATCATTGGAAAAATCTTCGATTGTGTAATACAATACATACAAAATAATACAAGTGCAGAAGGGCACGGTGCCCATTTGAGCCGTGTCCATATTTTGTTAAATTAATAGTAGTTTACAGCAACTGGATAAAACATTTTACAATATTTATGTAGAAATATGTGCATGATTTAGAAAGTCATTAAGCTGGAAAACTGCAATATACTGCAGACTTTTCAGAGAGGTTACTTCGATGTATTCATTCAGCTTAGTGAAAACGTAATATAGATATGTATACAAATAAGAACTTGAACTATTAGAGGGCCTTTGAATGTTATTAGACTAACGAAAAGGGTTGTGCATGTTTACTAGCACTACTCAGCAACAAAAACTATTTAATTTATCTCTAAAAAATACAAGAAAGTGCACTGAGCAGCAGTTTAAAAAAATCTATGTAACTTACCCATAGTTACAAAATGCTCAAACTCGCATTGTGACATTTATAATTCGGCTTATATTTCTCCAACAGATAATTCATCCGCAGAAGTTAAATAATACAGTGTCTAATAACATCCAAACACAGAAACCTTGTCTAAAACCTAAAAGTGTACCTATCTTGACAAATTATTTGCAGTGGCCTATATTACGGACGGTAGCCCACTGGGTTGGTAACATTATTGAAAATAACACGACATTTTAGCTGTAAAAAATGGCACAATGAGTAAATACAATTGAGCAGCTACTGTCATGACAGAAAGGTCATATTCCTTTTAAACTAGATCACATCATTCTTTATAAGATACATTGATTAAAAATGCATTTAAACGTCAATATTTACGTAACAGCCAATTTACAGTATTTTTGGCTTTTTGGAAATGTCACATTGCTATGTCATTTGCATTATATGTTGCCAATGAAGCCGCACGACCAAAACGAGGACGCCCCTAACAGTTCAAGAATAAAAGCCAACTTCACTTCTAGTATATTCCACTACACCTAACATTTCGTAGAGAGATTATATTTAAAACTTTATGTAATTGATAAGGCTGAGACAACTAACTGTCATCCCCATGTCAAGGAATTCCAGCTTTAACAGTAACCCCACAACTAATTTCTTAAAACTATGATAGAGAGTTATTCATTGGCACAGAAGTACGATATGAAGTGACGCGACGAGACTTAGAAAAAATAAAACTTACACTGTAATGGATATACCTCCCTTTGAAGTTAGAACGTGTCTTCCCTACAAACAGATATTTTTTTCAAATAAATCATAGATTAATCTGCATTACACTGATGAAATCACGGAAGTGTTTAACTACAAAAGATCCACCAATACAATTTTAATATTATTTATTAAATAGTCAATTATCAAAGTCAAATAAAAGTCAGTTTCTTCATAGACTAACCAACACAAGTAGACTTCTCATCCCATTGTAAATTTTGAAGCACGTTTTTCGTGCCTAGTTCATGTACGGTGACACTGGGCGCTAGTGTCACCTAAAAGTGCAGTGGCCTAGAAATTTTGTTTCTATTATTTTAGGGTTAATTTATTGATTTGTGCTTTACTGTTTGGTTATATAACTAGGGGACAAGTTATTGTTTATGATTAGATCGTATTATTTGGTTAAACAAGGTTTTAAATTACACTAATAACGGGGAAACAAATTGTAAACAAAACACGACCTCTACATAAACCGTACAGAACTAACAATAAAATTGTCTTCAGCTGTTCCATAAGGATGAGAAATCTACTAAGGGAGTATGTTTTATCTATGGTTTCTTTTAGTACAACATTTCAATAACTGTTTATTTACTATTCTTTAACAATATTAAATCATGTGATATTCAATCTTCACAAATAAGTTATAGCAGAAAAGATTAATCAATGAATATAACATAATTATATATATGAAATTAGTCACTAACATCTTTCCCCCCTCCTCAGCTAAAATGGCAATTTTTGTCGTCGGCCGCCGAAAAGTACCTTTTGGTGTTGTGATGTCAACAACTCTTACTTGTCCATCTCGACCTGGGTACAGGGCAGATATTCTTCCAAGAGGCCAGGTGTTACGTGCATTGTCTTCGTCTACGATTATTGCCTATATTTCTGAATAATATATTTTATAATGACTTATTCCACGGCCGGGCACCTTTAACTCCATGCCGCGGCCTGGTAGAATTGGTAATGTCGCAAATAGGGTTCTTTAGTGTCAGACGTCCCTTAAGATAACATGGCAGACAGGTGACATCAGCTCATTAATTCTCACTTTATTTATTTAAACTTAGTTTTATGAACATATATTTATTAAAATATTGAAAATAAAACTTACAGAATTGAAAACCAAAACAATATGAATTGAAAATCTTTATCTGTACATTTAAAGCGGAGTCAATATTTTCAGAGTCCAGTAACCAAGCTTTCGTATATACACAAATACCATTAGCTGCTTCCAAACAAAACAGCTGTTACAACCCTACTTGCGACGTTGCCACTTCGAAAGCCGCGGCCTGGAGTTAAAGGCGGCCGTGCTTATTCCCTGTTAAATATTATTACAGCTTTTCACAAATATCAGATCAAACTCAGTATACCCTTACTGTTCTAATATCTGTGCAGTATTTAGTATGTTTGGACCAGCTGTGTGGAAATGGGAAATCAAAATTAATTCATTTGACAGTCTGCTTGTTTACATTTAAACTATGTGGGATTGAATTTTGTTACCATGGAGACCAATCAATATTTACTTTTAAATCTCTCACCTCGGAATTTTGAAAGCTCGGGGGGCAGAGTCCTAGGTCAATATCGAAGGGGGAATAGTCCTATATGTATCCTCGGAGCGGTAGCTTTATTTTAGCCCAATTTGAGCCCAATTGTTTCAATAGTTTTTGAGTTCAGCTCATACAAACACACAGACACACATACAGACACCACCTCTTCTTTATAATATTACTAGCAGAGTACCCGTCCTTCGTACGGGGTTGGCATATAAGTATCAAATGCTTATAGCAGTTATGAGTGAGGACATGGTTTAAGAAATTTCGGTTCTTTTTGAAGTTCGTTCGCTACGCTCACTCACCTTTAGGTTGGAGCTCGTTCGCTGCGCTCACTTTCCTTCAGGTTAGCTCGTTCGCTACGCTCACTTGCCTTCAGGTTAGCTCGTTCGCTACGCTCACTCGCCTCCAGGTTGAAGTTCGTTCGCTACGCTCACTCACCTTTTGCTGTTGTCATAATTGGAAAAGAAATAATTGTGCTAGTGCTGCACCCTGTTGGTAATCCTTGTAACTTTTAATGCTATTGAACATCATAGAACATAACCAACTTGTTTAATTGAAACAGCTGTTAAGATTCATTAATTCCATTTCTCATAAGGTTAACATGGGAAACTCCAGAGCCACTGGGGCGGAGCCCCGAAGGATTTTTTGGGATAAAAATATGCCTATATGTTAATCAGGAATGTGAGCTATCATCATGCCAAATTTCAGCCCGATCCGACCAGTAGTTTTTGAGATTAGCTCATACAAACACACACACAGACACCACCTCTTCTTTATAATAGTATAGATAGATAGATAGATACATTGAACATCATAGAACCAACTTGTTTTACTGAAACAGCTATTAAGATTCATTAATTCCTTTTAAATATGAATACTCATAAGGTTAACATGGGAAACTCTCGAGCCACTGAGGCAGAGCCCAAAAGTTCGATCAGAATAAAAACTACTTAGTTGTCCTATTTAATGCCTAAAGAATCAGTTTACCAAATTTCAGCTTCCTAGTTAAATGGGAATTAGGATAATTAGTTGTCAGTCTGTGATTGCTTTGCATTTTATAGAGGTATATATACAGTGTGTTTCAAAATGACTCACCCGGTTTTAACGCTTTATAACTTTTACACTATTAAACTTACCGCTATAAAATACCCATCAAACGAAAAAGCAACTCAAAGAGTTTATGCCTACCAAAGACACATTATTTAATAAAATCGATCCAGCAGAACTGTAGATTTAATTGTACAAAGTTAAAAAGTTATCTCCAACTTTTTTTAGCACTAGAAATTTGGAGGTTACTTGACGTTTTTGCAAATAACTTTTAAATGGTGAGGAAATCTACCAAAGTGGAAGGTAATATTCCAAAAGAGAATAAAATTTCCTACAATCCACTATTATGCATTTTTTGAAAATACTCAAGAAAGGTACCAAAAATTGCTTAAAAATGAAAAAAAATTGAAAATCCCCGTCTTTAATGTAGACAATAGACATAGCAAACATTAAATTTCACACTTTTTTATTTTAAGGCAAATTTAGGCTACATTTATTGAGTATTTTCAAGAAATGCATAATAGTAGATTGTAGAAAATTTTATTCTCTTTCGGAATATTACCTTCCACTTTCATCGATTTCCTCACCATTTAAAAGTTATTTGCAAAAACGTCAAGTAACATCCAAATTTCTAGTGTTAAAAAAAGTTGGAGATTACTTTTTAACTTTGTACAATTAAATCTACAGTTCTGCTGGATCGATTTTATTAAATAATGTGTCTTTGGTAGGCATAAACTCTTTGAGTTGCTTTTTCGTTTGATGGGTATTTTATAGCGGTAAGTTTAATAGTATAAAAGTTATAAAGCGTTGAAACCGGGTGAGTCATTTTGAAACACCCGGTATTTATAAGTAACAAACATACTTTTGTTCTTTCAGGCTGAACCCGGACCAGGCATTTTATCTGAAGAGAACCGTCTTAAGAGAGAGGAGAAAAAGCTTCAAAGACAAAAAGAGTTGGAGGCCCGGAGAGCTCAGAGACAGTCAGCTGGTCCCATGAAACTTGGGTCCAAAAAACACAATGTATTACCAGAAGATATGTTGCTTCAATAAACATGTGACCTTGGCATTCTGTACAGATACTTTTAATTTTGTAAATTTAACAAATCAGCTTTGCAATCTCAGAAGTTAATACACAATAATTTTAAGTCCAGTTGTAGATCGTGTAGATCGTTTTACAGTCAATCCAAGATTATCACTGTCATTAACTGGACTAAATGTATTCACTTTTATTTTTATTTTGACTTAAGCTTTTAACATATAATTTTAACGAATTTCCCTGTAGGAAATACGCCGGGACCGATATACTTTTTCATTTTGACGTCTCCAGAGACCATAAACACAATTTGTTCAAATTTTATATGTATACGTCCGTGAACGCGATAACTTGAGTAATTTTTGTCTAATTTTGATGAAATTTGGTTTGAAGGAGTAAGGCAAGATAAACTTGAATGAGTTCGCTAACCAGTATGATCTGACCATGGGAACCAGGTTTTACCCCGGTTTTTTGGGGTTAAAATTAGTTTTTCTGATTTTTGACCCTCAAATTGAATTTCTCTCTAGACCAAAAAAAAACAATTTAGTACCTTGAAGTTTTTTTGTACGGTTATTGGTTACGGAGAAAATTTAAAAAATTTTAAATTTAAAATTCCCATTTTATTGTTATAGAGAATATTGTAAAATGTTATATACTATATATATATAACATATACTAAAAAACTAACTTTATTATCCTCCCTGTAGCAGCAAACCTAGGTACTCGTTAAACCTAATGTTATTTAAATAGATTTAATTTAAAATCAATTCAGGCAAATGGAAATTTGCTTAGTCTGCAGGTTTGCTGCGGCGGTGGTATTTTATTTTAACCTAGATATTCCTACAAATACAAACACCAATAATATTTTGTAATTGTCAGTGTACTGCATGCGTGTGACATAAACTTATTGTCAACCTAATAGCTTAACATTGCTTAAAATTTGAAACGCCGATTCTCACTAAGCGGAGGTTTCTCCCAGGTTCCACAATAATGTACAACATGTAAATAAAAAGGTCCATTTTATAATCAAACATTTATACAATACATACAGATATATTTTAAACACAAATATAATTATAATAAAGAAGATTCTAATTTTGGGAATATAAGGTATAAATTAGCTATTGTGAACCCGGAGGAAACCTATGCTTAGCTTCCGATGGAGGGTTTAGGTGTGTATTTGGCTCAATTTAGCTGTATTTGTAGGAGTTATTACTGTGGCCAAATATTTATAGGGTATCTTTTTATTTTAAGGCAACAAAAAGCCTGTTTATGTTGGTAGTGTGAATATATATAAAAAATATTATCAACTGACAATATGACATGTCCCACCTGGGGTATATTTTACAAATAAACATCAGTTCCCAGGTTATTAACTACTCGTATTTGGTGCTGGAAAACCAAGAACCCATAGAGGTCAAGATATCAGAGTACAAAATGGAGATGGGAAATTGAGCTTGTGTTAGGAGGCCAAGATCTACAAGATTGTAGTGATTTAAGCGTTTCTGCTGGTGTCGCTCTTGCCACGACGCTCCTGTTGCCCAAGTGTAGGAAGGAGCTTTACTTGCATAAACATCAACTTTTTTGCTGTATGGAACTGGAAAGGATAAAATATGTTGTAGTTCACAATGTATTTCTTTCCCTTCAGTAGCATCAGTATCGGTATAAATAGTCTGCAAGAACCAAAATACTGGATTTAATGATTGTATTAGTGTTAACTTAAGCTATTGCCGTAGGTCTCATGGTAAGATCTGGACCGATTAACTTTTTCATTTCAATGTTCCCAGAGCCCAAAACCACTGTTTTTGTTTTATTTTTTCTGGGGAATTTACTTATGTGTGTCGGTTGGCACGATAACTCGAGCAAAAATCCTCTGATGAAATGTTGTAAATGCATGTAAACCTACGTTTCTTCTATGGAGTTTGTGAACCATCATGATTGAATTATGGGAACAGGGGTTTTATAATTAGGGGTTTTATACAGTAAAAATAGGTTTTCCCCATTTTCAAACCTAAAAATCATGTAAAATACAGTAGGACCTTAATATCTCGAATGTGAAGGGGGTATTATAAAAAATTGAGTTATCAAATTTTTCATAAAGATTAGAGTTATTAAGGGGTTAAATGTTTAAAACCTTCGACTTATAAAGGTACTTTTAACATTATAGTTCATGGGGATTTCAAGGGGGGGAAAATTCAAGATATCAAGGAATTCGAGACATCCAAGGTTCGAGTAATTGAGGTTCTACTGTATTGTATTTTCTTTCCAAACCATTTTTAGAGCTTAAAAAACAAGTAATTCAGTATATTGAAGCGTTGTTGTAGACTTAACCGTTACAGATTTATTTATTTATTTCATACTAAGCTATTAACATTTCACTAAAAACACAATTAGTGCTGTTATCTATACACTTTAACTTTCTTTTTAGGAGCAAGCGAGATGAAGCAAATTAGTTGAGCCAAATACACAGTGGGCACAAATTCTTCAGTTAATTTTTTGGGTTGACTTTCATAAGCAGGACTCCAAAAAATCCAATGATATAATCGATATATCGAAAATTCAATATTTTTATCTGGTATTTTGGAGTCATGCTTATGAAAGTCTACCTGCATGCTTTACTTTCAAGAAAAGTCAGTTACATTCCTCTGTCACAAAAACTTCAAAATCTGTTGTAGTTAAACATTTTTTGTACTTATTAAATTCTTAGGATAACCAACAGATTTTACTTTCAATTAAATATAAAACAACATATATACTGATAAAAATATTACCAAGTCATGTGTACATAATTTAATTTATTTAAGAATAAATAAATTCATATATACAATAGTTGTATTATTTATCATCTTTTCCTTTCCTAGATTTTTTCGCGAATTTCCCACATATGGAGTAAGCTATTATCATATCTAGAGACAGCTGGTTTATTAATTGTGTTTAATTTGTTAACACATGTTAACGCTAATGATTATTGTTTGTTATTTTTTTAGAGAATTTCCCATATAGTAAATAATTACCGTAGTTCTCATGGACCCGGGACCGATTTATTTTTTCGTTTTGATGTCACCAGAGGCCAAAAACACCATCCGTTCAAATTCATATATATATATATATATGTCCGTTACCACGATAACACAAGCAAAAACAATCCGATTTTGATTAAATTTGGTACAAACATGTAAACCTACATTTATTCTAACGAGTTCTTGAACCAGCATGATCAGACCACGGGAACGGGGTTTTATGGGGTACAAATAGGTTTTTCTCATTTTGACCCTCAAAACACAAAATTTCCCAATTTCTCTCTAGACCATTTTGAAGAGCTTAAAAAACAAATAATTTAGTATATTGATGTGTTTTTGTATAATTATTGAATATGGATAAAATCCCAAAAATTGTAAATTTAAAATTCCCATGTTAATCTTATGTAGAATAAGTACACTGTTGTAGTTTGCTTGTTTATGGATATATTATGGTCAAACTTGGGAAATCTATTTATTTTATAATAAGCTAACAAAGTTTTACTAAAAAAATACTTATACCCTCCCTGTAGCAGCAAACCTAGGTACTTGTTAAACCTATCCTATAATACAAGCTAAGTCTGTTTGTCTGTCTGTCTGTCTGTAATATATATCTTTGGCTACACAACTCATTTGAAAATTTAAAAATTGAACTTTGGCCTTATGGGTTGCTAAGTAACTATGTTTTTTACTAATAATTTTTTTTTTTTTATGAAGGAAAAAGTTATCAAAATACTTGTAACATGTGTTTACAACAAGTCATCCACAGTATACTAGGATAGCAAAAAACAAAATACAGTACAAAGGGAAAAACATCAAAGGGAAAAACATCAGTTGTAACTATTGAGCAAAG